ATCAAAATTATTTTGTTGGTGCAACAAAACTTTTTTTCTTGTATAATTACACGAGAGCTTTGTTTTTGTCGAAGTAAACTTGACATGTATCAATAACAATCTTGTTGCCTGGCAATTTGACGAAAAAAACTGCCCCTGAAAAAATTACGAGTCCCTAGGACGAGTAGTTTTTTCTGTCAGTTTTTGAGTTGAATTAGGTACCTAGGCAACAAAATTCGAATTATAAATGCCAAGATTACTTCGACTTGGGTCCCTCGATGCAAACTGACGTATTTGTCATCTAACAGGGTACGGACAGATCATAGCTCCTTTCTCTTTTAATCATCTAGTGACTTTGGTTTCGTGTATTGGCGTCCCTGACATGACATTGCTGTCACGTCACATTCGTAGGCGTTAAAAGAGATCTTACAAAATTTCAATTTCATACTTCGCCGCCGATTTTTTTACTGTGTTCTAATGAGGTTAAAGGATTAGTGATTGAGGCGAATGGCTCTTATCTGGATGGAATCTGAGAGTATCAGCATATGTTTGGAAGCTGAACTCCATTATGTCAGAACAGTATTCTGAAATCGGCCGTATATCTTGGCTCTGTAGAACATGAGAAGCTGTTGAGGTGAGAAGTAAATTTTCGCATGGAATGACAATCCGAGTTTTGGTGTAACAGCTATCGCGATGGATTGATCATAGAAATTGGTGGGAATGGTGGTAACCAGACATTATAATATCCGGAAAACTGAATTCCGCCTTTCTAGAAAAAATACAGGCTTTAGTTTTGGTGGCGTTGACTTCAACTATATAGGTTGTAGCCGCCAGGCTGTAATTTCAGAAGACCGTATTTGACTGCGTTGACCTGCCTTCGTCGTAAGTTCTCAGTTTCCTGATGGGAAGAAATGGGAATTCTAGAAGAGAATGCAGTGTGGAGTACTTAGGAACAATGTATATATAGGTGCCAAAATTGATCCATGTGAAAATCAACTCAAATATAAGCTATTGAATAAATATCAAGGTTAATTTCTTATCCAATCACATACAAGTAGTTTTTAGTTATTGCTTTCTATACCTACTGTATGACTCTATTTTCTAATTGGCACCTTGAACGAAATCGCAATCGCAATACCTAGCCATATGTCATATTGTAACAAACATTATACCTATCTCTTTTTGAATCTGTTCTCTAAATGGGTATATACAAGGTGTTTCACGGTTAATGGAACATTAGACGTATGTACGTATCTATCGTTCAAGATGTCAGGAGAAGCCGTTTTGACCGATAATGAATAGTTTCGACACAAAAAAATCCTAAAATTGAAAAATCTCGATTTTAAACACTAGTCCCGCTAGTCCTCAAGTGTGATGCATTGACAAAAATGCAATGAAATACAGGATGTTTCATTTGAAATAACAAAATATTTTAGATGGATAAAGCATATGCTTGATTATCCACGTCCACAAATTTTATTCGAAATGATCTGTCGTTCGGTTTTCCAGATACGTATATTGTTCAATCCACCGTGAGACACCTTGTATATACTCCTGTTTTCTTTATCTCTTGTAGCGCACGAAAGGAAATTCCTATAATGTTCGGATAATAAACGATTTTTGTCTTGTAGCCGTCTCCGCTAGTTTTTGATGATAAATAGATGCAGTCTATCTTGCTTCATTAAGTTTGAGACATGTTTCTACCACATAAATGGTCATCATCAGTCAAGCGTACGTATAAAGTGGATCAAGCAACGATCTGCCTCGACCTACAGGATCAAATGAAAATTGTGAGATTATAATATTCAGTTTTTGATGTCAAGTAGTTGTAGGTAGGTATACAAACAAAGCTAGTAGACTATAGACATATCATCATACCAAGTACTCGATCAATTATTTGTTTTCAGAGCATGATGTAATTACATCCAGTGGTGTTTTTTCAATTTTAATGAGAATGTTGCAATGTACTTCACCTCGATAATTCCGAACACTAGAAACTTTGAATCATTTAGTTCATAATATCCATTGAACTATTGTGTGTCTCATGCCTATTATTACGAGTAAGCCTTGACCATGTTTACACGAGAGGCTTGGCTCGATAGATCACATTCAGAACCTACCAAAAAAATAAACAGAGGAAATAAATAGAGATGTTTTGGGTAGAGATTTCATTATCAAAAGATACAAGATTGAATCGATATGGCGCACATATAAAACTAACCAAAACTTTTTTACTAACTTTTTAAATACTTGGTGCCGTCCATGAAAAACCAAATTTGTCGCATGCGAAAAAAATCTCTCTGTTGAAACATACAACATTGTTCCTAATAAAAAATAATAACTTGCCCCCTTACCATTTTGTTGAACTGCTATATGTTGACAAAGAGCTGAAATGCAATTATGTTCATATATGTATAGGCCATAGGGTGTTCGAATGCCAAGATATCGGCTGATGATGTTTTTATTTTCATTTGAACATCCTGTTTATTATTGCATTTTTAGGTTCTCTCTGAAGAGCTGATTTCATCAAAACATCTGACTTGCTGTCTATATAGTGGGAATCATTATAGAGATTCAATATCGAGATTTTTCAAATTTACTATAGTTCGTGCCAAAATTATTCATAATTGGTCAAAACGGCTCACATATCCCTTTTTTGACTTAATTTACTATCTACTGACATTCAATTGGAACAAATACAGGGTGGTTCAGGATTCGAGACTTCTGATTCGATTTTAAGCATCAGTGATAACGATGTTGTAGACCCTCATATAATTATTCAATATTATTTTGTTCGTAGAATTATTGTGGATTTTTTCTCATCATTCGTAGTTGCTTGAAATATAATATAATCAGATATTCTCAGTAGACACTTAAAACTATAATTCTTATCAATCACGTAGCATTGAAAGCTCACGAAACTTCACTTGATACCTTGTGAAATATCCATTTCAAAACTTACTTCGAGTATCTAAATTCAGTCTCAGCAAAATCAACTTCAGCAGTTTATAATGGAAAGAAGTATAGAGTATACTAAATTGTGCCCTTATAAATTTTATTTTATCTTTCGTTTCTCACGGCAGTAGATTATCAAAACTTTCGTCTATAAAATTATATGCCTTCAGGGAAGCCATGTTTTAGTTAGATAGAACGCAACTATTCTTGAGTCAACATCACTAACTTTTTTTTTATTGTACTGAGCACTCTGTGATTGTCTTGTGAAATTAACCATCGTCCACGAAGTGAATAAACGTCTACTGGAAAAGCTACCCACTAGTTATTTTGGTTCACCACCTTTTCAAACCTTCTAAGTGATCACTGTGACCATTTACAGAACCTTTCCTTCCCATGTACTAAAAGGAAAGATCACAACAACGAGCACAAAATGGTTTTTACTGTTTTTAGGCATCTTCTTAACACATTGCGTGCCATGTCTCTCATATATGAGCGACATTGAACTTTCCCAGGGTGCTTCGTCTCTCATATGCAAGAGACAGATATTATACTTTATCAGTGCGTGTCTCTCACGAATGCATCACGCTGCCGTACATTTTAAATGGTGAATGTAGAGAGTGGCCTCTGGGGAAAACCATGTAAATCTTTGTTTGAGCAAATTTGAAAACGTCAAGACTTTGTAGGACAAAAAGTCAAAACTATTATATTTCCGTACAAGATGGGGTGAAAAATTAAACTAATATATCTCATTGAAAGTAGATGCTTTTGCCGTTCAAGTCCTTTGTGGTTTGTCCGAATTCTTCAAATCAAGTAGGTCTGCGGCTGATATATCTTGAAATGCTCGTATCGAGTTTTTTTTTGGTGGCCTGCTTATAGAGAACCCAGGAAACAAAAGAGAAAATACTGAAGAAACCGTCGCTCATCTTTGAGTGACACAACGAAACCAAAAAAATATAACCAAAAACTACAAAAAACACGTAAGTATCAAACAATCCTTCATTTTGACATACAATACTTACAAATGATGCGAAACTGTGGTTTTGCACCCATAGCCAGTCCCCATTCACGCCTTGGCACCCAATGTTTTAATAGTATATTATGTGACAAGTGTTATAAACGCCCTTTTAGTAACGAGTATTTTAAGCACGAGCGGAGCAGAGCAGAGCGAGTGTTTAATAAACGAGTGTCTAGAAGAGTTTATAAACGCTTTACATATTATGGTTTTTATACGAACTCCGAAAATTACATTAACATACCTGCTGATCCTGCTAACCTACAAAATAATTCGAAAGGAATGGGAATTGAGAACATAATACATGCAACTGCATGCAACCAGCGAGACACGTATAAGTGATATTGGTTGTTGATGTGTCCAGTCCATTGCTTACTAACCTTTGTTTCACGTTTATTGTCATGCTTAGCGCAGAATAAATAGATTGTTCTCAAAGATGGATGCTTCACTTTTACACTTCTTGGAGATATGCAAGTACCAGAACATTCTCTTCGATTTCACTTTCGTCTACTCTTCGCATATATTTTTAATGAAGAATTCTGGTACAAACTAATATTGTTTGAATAATTCTGATACAAAATTTGAAAATAACAGTTGACAGTTAATACAATTGACAGACCAGACATATGTCTCAAATTACTGAAGCTGTGTTTAATGAACTGTGTTGCCATGGTAATGCGTTTGAAGAATCGTGTTGCCATGGTAACGTGTTCAATATTTTGAATAAATCACAGATCGACAATCCGTGATTAAACGATCATTTAGCGTGGTACATATCCGTACGCTAAATGCCATTTTAGTTATGAGAGTAGAAAAGGGAATTTTTAGTCCTACTCAATTCGAATTTGACGATGATGGACCGATGAATGCGATCGCATTCCTTATCAATTTAATGGTCGTTGACCGTGTAAATCATGCCGCCCGTATCAATAGAGCAACAAACCATCAACAAACAATTCATGTCAGTAACTCGACGGATTGTGAACATGTGAGATTTGAGTATTTGGCTGAACAGATCTTTAAATAAATATGTAGACGAGACGAATAAAGTTTCAAGGTGCTAGTGTGTATGATAATAGTGAATATATGCAGTGAAATTGATGAATGAGTTGAAAAACTTACATAGTTTTAGTTTTAACAATCAACGAAAATACTGGTGCGTATACTCATACTAATTGATACTTATATAGCCTCAACAACCTATATAGAAAATTATTAACAAGTATTTTGATGCTTCTTTACTTGAGTAAAAAGTAAATAGTGTATCATCTGGGAAAATCATTATTACTATTCTGAATATAACTATTGATAATTCTGGAACAGTATTCCTGGAAAATTGGGTTAGGAAAACGAGAGTCGGGCACAAAATTAGTTTACATAGGTTTTTTATCGAAATATTTACTTGAAATTTCAGTGATTTATGTTCTGAAAGAAATACTTTTTCATGAAGTCATAATCTAGTAGAATTATGATAGTGTGTAGATAGCATCCCATAGTAAACATCCGTTGAGTAGGTATTTACAGGGTGGAAACTTCAACTGCAACAAATTCCCTAAAAAGAAAACATCTGGAAAACATACAAAATAAGTCTATCCGTGTTTCCAAGTAAAAAATACTCAGTGACAAACATACTATATACCTCTTAACCACGCCACTGGAATTCTAATTAGCTAAATATCTAATTACAACAGATGCATTTGCTGCTATACTGATACTGATATACAACGTGATTCAGTAAAATATTGTGTTATGATCTTGAACAGCTCCAAGTTATCGCGATAATTAATATGGAACCAAAAATTATCTTCCAAAATATTGGGTACTTCGAAAGTGACAGGTTTAGGACCATGCTTAGAAATAATGTGAAATTAATCTAATGATTCAACCACGACCAAAATGAACAGTTTGAACAAGAATGAATTCATTGAATTTTGAATTGAACAAATATATTTTAAATAAATATGCATGGCTAAAAGTCATTTCTACAAATCTTCTTTATGAAAATGACTTTGAGCTATGGATATTTATTAAACATTTCATTCCACTTGGAGCATTCTGGCTCTTTCGTAGTTGGAATATATTTTAGTTGGAGAGAAAATTTCAGTTCGAGCCACAAAAATCCAAAATAAACAAGATGAAAAAGTTGTTTGATCTATCAAAAAAGTCAACAAAACATAATTATTCATTTCATACATCCAAACAACATCTATATTGATAAAGAATCTCAATGTTATTTTTAGTAAAAATGAGTGTTGGTCAGACTGTGATATCAACGAACAAAAAACAGAAAAAAAGGGAAAGATTGCGAGTTGGTGAACCTGGATTCGAATCTCCAGACGGTGGTTGGGCCTGGTTGATTTTGGTAGCCTGTGGCATAAGTAACGTAAGTATACAGGGTGGACCAACTCGATGGTACATATTATTTGTGATGTTAATAATTAACACCATATCTATGAGAGATATACTACGAAAACCACGTCCAGTCAGTGCAAGGTTCCATCGGACCATGATCTACGTATTTGTGACCAGTATTAGCCAATCAGACAAACATTTAACTGATAAGTGCCCTGGTAAATTGTCTCTGTTGAAAAATCGAGTCAGTATGGTAATGACATATTTTGACGTTTGACGAACTCAATCAAATTTTCAAAATGTCAGTCACATCGAGTAGATATGGCAGTATTCAACAATACTCTTACTGAATATCCCTAGACTATTGATATATTCCCATAATTTGTCTCAACTTTCCTCAACCGAGTTGCTTTCAAAAGTATGCGACAAATTATTTCGAAAGTATCAATAGATATTACTATAAGTGAAAGTTTCCTTCATGATGGGTAGGTAATATTCATAATAATCGATTCGCGATCGACATATTCATTCATGCTTCATATTCATCCTCATTTATTTCAAATCAAGTGTATTCATCTGATAAAAAAAATCACTGATGTGGAACGGTGAATATCCAAAATTAAATAATTCCAGCTGAATAATCAACAGTAATTACACAAATGGTGGTAATTTTCTGATAATTTGCACGAATCTTCGATCCCTTAGGAATTTCCCAATATCAACAAAGACGAGTGCTAATCAAATCAAAATTATTTTAAAAGAATATCACCACGAATGAAATTCGACCTGATTATTTTTTTAACTATTTCGAAAACTATCCATCAGCGAAAACGAATATTTTACAGCCAAACACTTAGGTATGTCTGTTCCTTTCATGTATTCATTCAAATGAAGATCCAAACGTGAAAAAATTATCGCTGTAATTTGCTACCAACAAATTATCAGTATGATACCAAATGATTGGCTAGAATTACGCATTGATATTGGTGGAAAACGTTGAAAATGTTATTGAAACAGTCGACAAGAGTGCACCTTTCCAATCAACCAGCGCAAACTGCTTGAGAATTATTCTAGAAAAGGTCACTGATAGTTCTTAACTTGGATCCATTAATGACTCCAATGTTGCAAAGCTGCGATTTCCCGATGAAAACCAGATGACAACATATCTGTCTTTCTCCCTACTGGTTCTGCACCACTTTAATATGCTGGAATAACAGTAGATGAGCACAATTTTTTTGATTGGTTGTCCTCAGTGTGGATCAAAATTATAGTCCTGGATGAAACAAGTATCTAGTTTAGTTATAATCCATTATTGACTATCTAATACCAACTTATGTGAGTTATATATGTGGGAATTTTTTCAATTCATAATTTGTCCATGTTATGAAACCAATTTGGGTGAATTTTCTTGTGAACTCGAATTGGTATATGGTATAACATGGGCATAAAAAATACAGGCGATGAGAGAGATAGAAATTATGCAAAATTGCTGAGAGAAAATGTTTTTTTCATTCAGCGACTGAACAGAGGCTCTGTTACTTTCACTAACTTAACCATGCTCAACATGTACGATCCAGATGTCATTCAGTCCATTAAAAAGAGTGAAAACATGTTTGAGGTCTACTTGACTCATTGACTTCACTATGAACGAAAGAGCGAAAGATGACTCCAGTTGACTCTGTATGTTGAGTGATAGAAAGATAGTTCTCTAGACAAATAAGTTATTTGAAGGAGAAGGAGGTTATGTGAAGAGGTTTGTTTCCAAGTAACTGGAATTTCGTGGAACAGAAAAATTTGAAAAAATGCCCCGCATGTGTATACTTTTGGATAAAGATGCGGCGGTCAAAGTGTTTAGATTGTCAATTATTATTTCCGATCGACAAGTTTACTGTTTCAGAGAAAAATTCAAATACCATCGAGTTCGATCCACCCTGTACGAGCCACTAATATTCGATTAAGAAGATATATTTCCATGATTTCTAGTTAGTTTCATTCCCGATTTTTCAACAATATGGACTAGTATTTAAGGAAAAATTCAAGACTCAAGGAATATCTTCCACAGAAATTGTGACTATCATAAATACATGTATAGCTTTCAATACCGGAGCAGGTGAGAATATTTTTTTTTTATCTTCTTCACTCTGTAACAAAATAATTTCGCCACCAGTAACTGACCTGGTTTAACCGAGCAAAATGATTGTAGAAAAATTTCGAGTCGAAGAAATTCACCCGTTAAAACAAGATCGACAAAATACAGGGTGATCCACGGTGGATGGCCTATTAGAAGTATCTGGAGAACCAGAAGACAGAACATCCTGAAAATTGGGATGCATTGATAATTAAGCATTCTCTATCCGTCTTAAATATTTTAATATTTTCATCGATACAGTGTTGCCACTTTTATCAGAAACAACGAGCAACTTCGTTATTTTAAATGGAGCATCCTCTATTTCATTGCATTTTTAGATTCTTCCTGAAGAGCTGATTTCATCAATGTATCACACTCGGGGTCTAGCAGGAATGATGACAGAGATATAGGGTATTCAAAATCGAGATTTTTCAATTTTGGGATTTTTTTGTGTCGAAACTATTCATTATCGATCAAAAGGGTTCACATGTCCCTATCTTAACTTCCGATGCACTATCTACTGACATTTAATTGGAACAGATACAGGGTGATCAGAATTCTAAATCTTGAAGCACCCTGTATTTTTTTCAATTAAATTCCAGTAGATAGTGAATCAAAAGTTAAGATAGGGACACGTGAGCCGTTTTGTTCGATAATGAATAGTTTCGACACAAAAAAATCCTAAAATTGAAAAATCTCGATTTTGATCACCCTATATCTCTGTAATCATTCCTGCTAGACCGTAAGTGTGATGCATTGATGAAATCAGCTCTTCAGGAAGAATCTAAAAATGCAATTGAATACAGGGTGTTCCATTTAAAATAACAAAGTTTCTATAGTTGTTTCTGATAGAAGTGTACACTGTATCGATGAAAATATTTCAGACGGATAGAGAATGTTCGATTATCAAAGCATTTCAATTATCAGAATGTTCTGTATTTTCGTTCTCCAGATACTTCTAATAGGCCATTCACCGTGGATCACCCTGTATATTACCAAATAAAAAGATAAAAATACCATCATGTCATGTCAGAAGAAATTTTATTGAATATATAAGATTTTTTATATTTTTAGGTTTACTGAATGGGCCAGTATTCAAAAGATTTACCACCAGAAAAGTGGGGATTTTTAGTGCAGTGCTATTGGTGGGATGCTTGATAATGTGTGCATTCTGTCGCTCTTTCTGGATGTACATCATATTCTTCTCCATCGGATATGGTATGATATCCTCTGAATTATATCTACTTTTGAAGCACTGTATATTTTTGGACTATTCGTCACTAACAACGATTTTATTCCCATTTTCATCTGAGTCGATGCTTCAACATTATTTTGTTATTTTCAGATATTTCGATGTCACAAAAATTTAAAAACTTCACAAACTGAACTGAGTTCATTGTACCAGTATATCACCTGACGAAGCTACTGTGTTAGCAAAACATGTCGTGTGTTTGAGAATTTTGTGGAAATCTTATCGTTTGTGAAGTTTTTACATTTGTCAACTCTCACCAGATCACCATAATTCGACTTTTATCTCGAGATTTCGACAGTTATCTCGATAAATCGACATTTATCTCAAAATGTTGACCGTTATATCTTAAAACGACTCATTTGGTTGATTGATTTGTTTGACTGGTTTGATTTTCAACTACCGAAAGATTGAAATTGTTGGGTCAAAATTGTTTTCTTATAGTGGGCACCCCAGTTGAAGTCTCGAGATAAAAAGTCGACATTTCCAAGATAATGTGAAAATTTCGAGATGTTAGAGGAAATTTCAAGATAAAGTGAAAATTTCCAGATAAAAAATCGAAATGTCGAGATTAGAATCGAAATATAAAAGTAGAAATTTCGAGATGAGACGAAAATTGGAGTCGTTCAGTCTCGAGATAAATATCAAAATTTACATATAAGTCAAGATCCCGAGATTCAAGTCGACATTTTCGAGATAAAAATGTAAATTTGGGGATGAAAATCGAAATAAGTAGAAATATAGAGATAAAAGATGAAATTCCGAGATAATGGTCAAAGTTTTGATAAAAATTTTCGAGATAAAAATCGAAATTTCGGAAACAAAGTCGAAATTTGTAGCTGAAACATTCGACATTCAGTGGTAAAAGTTGGAATTTAGACATATGAGCCAAAGTCCTAATTAAGATTATATCCAAAATTTTAGCGATGAAAAATCGAAATTCAAAAGTAGAATTTTCGAGATAGAAGACGAAAATTCGAGATAATAGTTCAATCTTGAGAGAAAAGTCGAAATAAATTTCCAGATGAAAGTCGAAATTTATAGGTGAAAGTCGACATTTTAGACATATATCGAAAGTCAAAATACCGAGATCAAAGTCGAAATTTTCGAGATAAATGACGAAAATTCGTGATAATAGTTTAATCTTGAGAAAAAAATCGAAATTTCCAGATGGAAGTCGAAATTTATAAGTAAAAGTCGACATTTTAGACATATATCAAAGTCAAAATACCGAGATCAATGTCGAAATTTTCGAGATAAACGTGGAATTTTTTAGATGGAAGTAGAAATAAAAGTAAACATCTTGGGATTAAAATCGAAATTTAGATATGGAAGTCGAAATTTCAAGATGAAAGATGAAATTTCGAAAAAATAGTCCAAATTTAGATATTAGAGTCAAATTTTCGAGATAAAAGTCGAAATTTTGAAATGAAAATGAAACTTTGAAATGAAGTCAAAATTTGGAGATTAAAGAAGAAATTGCAAGAAGATGTCTAGATTAAATCGGAATATTTACCGACTACAAAGAACCTGTGGCATTTCAACAACTCCTCATTATTTCAGTATTAGTACAAAAATGTTCGAACGACCTACTTTCGATTCACAGGCGGTGCATTCGGTCTACTCGAATCGGCGAACGCGTTGGCCATGAACACCTATTTCGGGAAAAAAAGGCGAATAGCGACAGGACTGTCATGGACGATAACGGCCGTAGGTCCTGTAGTGTGTCCCTACATAGTCATCGCCCTTATGAGCAAATTCGGCATGGAAGGCACCATTTTGTTATTCAGCGGCGTTTCCATGCATTCACTGGTCTGCTCGTTGCTGCTGCAGCCAGTCCATTGGCACACAAAATTCAGGGTTAGTAGACAGAAATTATGCCATTTCATTGTTATCTATAGTCTAAACAAGTAGAGAATTTTCTATACAGGCTGATTTTAAAATAAGTGCATATATTTTAAACACTAAGAAAGCTTGAGGTATACTACCGAATAGCACTATTAAAAATATTATTAGAATCAAAATAGATTTTGGGGCAAAATACCCTTGTTCCGCCCAGATTTCTAGTTCTGTCACAACTATCGTTTGCGATCCGCAGTCGACCGTGATGGACGAAGCGACGTTGCCACTCTACATATGAAAATTAGGAGATATTAAATAATATGTATAATCGAGAAAATGTACATGGGGAAGAAGTTAACCCTGGTCTTGAATTTCAGAAAGATAATACAAAAACTTTAAAATGGACTCACCCAAGATTTCTACACATAAGCTCGAATAGCGTATAACTTAACACCTCACGGTTGGAAGTTCTTTTACTGAAAAATCCTTTAGACCCTTTCTTCCACCTCCTTGCATCGCTACAATTTCGTATCCTTCGAGGAGTCTCATGGGCCCCGCACAATAACGACCCGACATAAGAACCATATCATTCAGCTCAATGTTTGAGAAATGCATCGTCACATTCCAAGCAAATTGTCAGAAACAAAACTTTACACTTTACATTTACTAGTCAGTGTTGTTCCTGGGTCTGATTTTTTCGTAATAGATTTCCTTGGGAAAAGGTCTCAGATTTGTATCAAAAGGTAATAGACTCGAAAAATCTGACATTTGACATTCGGAATGTCATTCTTGTCAAACCCTATCGCACTAATCACAGTTTTGACATAAATATAGAACATAGAACGGAACATAATTATCCGCTGAGCACAGAAATATATTTTTTAGTATTGGAACATATTTTGGTGCTAATAGCAAATAGTAATAGATTCATGACAAATCGTAATATCGTTACAATCTTCGTGAAATAGTAATAGAACGCGAACAATCCTAGTTGGTAATGTCAAAGGTCACAGCAAAGAGGAAATCTATGGTCACAGATACTACTGTTCTGAGAAATGATGTTGACAGATCATATGATAATAGTTTTGTTTGTGTGGTTGCTGGTTTGTAAAATAATTGTAAACGTAAAATAAAAAATAAAATAATTGGATGTTTTGTCTTGTGTCGTGATAATCGTGATATGGTCGTGATCGTGCTTTTCAATGTGAGATTGCCAGGAAGGATATGTCGTCGTCGAGTCGTTTTCGATGGTTTAAGTGCGAATATGAACCAACAAGAACACAGGACGATATTAGTCTGGAATGGACTCGATATTAGTATTTGTTTGCTCTCGGAAGTTTTGCTGTTCGAGCAGGTATGAGAAAATCTACTAGGTGAGTCGATTTTCAACTTTGTATATGTTGTGTACCTATTTATTGTCTGCTAATTTTGTATCTACCCGCTGGGGCCTTATTTTCGAATTGAAGGAAGGGGGACGTTCGATCATTCCCCTCATGTTTCTCTCCGTCTCTCGTGATCCATGGAGATAATCACCCCACAGTTCTCTCAGTAAACTTTAAAAAATAAGGCTTCTGTATATATATTACATTCACCTCTATTAGTTTCCATAACCTATTCCAATTCATATTCATTCTGTGACAAATTTTTATCAGGATATTCGTCTCTGAAACAATCTGGCATCACTGTCTTGTTTTGACGTTAGTGAATGACGAATTGAAGATTCCCTGGCATTCCGCAGATTTCACTTGCTTCCCAGTGGCGTACTCGAATTTCGAAGCATTTTATGTTCAATTTTCAAAATGAAATTTCTCGTTAATGTGAAGACTTAGGAAAAATCAAATATTTTAGTAATTTTTGTTAGACTCTCTCATATATATGTCTTGAATATATGCACTCATTTTAAAATCAGCCTGTATAAAATTACTGTAGATTTCTGTCAAGTAATGTCCGAGTCAAAGACACAAATGTGTACTGTATAAAGTTTATGCAAAGTCAATTGGAAAGACACATCACCGCAAGCTGTCGGTCCCTTTGAAAGTTCGATGTTCGAAGTTTGATGATCTGTTCAACTGACTTCGCATAAACTCGATGGTTTTTCAGGATGAAGCTACCGGAAGCAAACTGCTGACCTTTCCTTCCAAGCAAGACAGTGGTAAACTATCCAGAATCAGCAGCGCCATATTTCAAAGTCAGTATTTGGAAAATGACACTGGAGCATTCACTTCCGAATCTCCCATGATGCTAGTAGGCTCCAAACTATCCTTAACCTCAGAACACGAGAACAAACCTAGGAACCGATCCAACTCAACGTTGAAACATCCCAATCACCATGGCAACGAAGACAGAGAGCGAAAATCATCAGTCATCCAATCACCCATATCGGAAACCCAAGAAAAAACTGCAGTTGACATAGAAGAAGAGAAAGAGACAGACACGATGCTAGAGAAGCCTGAAAAGCAACCTTTGGGGTTCTGGCAGCAAATCATCCAAGACTTTGACTTCGCTCTACTCAAAGACCCAGTCTATGTAAACTTGATGCTTGGACTGACGATGACCAACTTCGTAGAGCTGAACTTCGGTTTGCTCACGCCGGTCATAATGGCGGAGTTGAACTTCCAACACCACCAAATAGCCATATTCATGTCTCTGTTGGCTGGATTCGATATACTGTTCAGGTTCTTGGTGTCCATCGTGGCTGATAAGGTCAAGATCAGCAACAGGAACTTCTATTTGCTCGGCATCACTGTGATGATGATTGGACGAACAGGTCAGTTATTATTTATGGGTGGTCCAGTCACAATTGGCCTTGATTTTTAAACAATAGCTCCTTCTCCAAATAATAATAAACCGCTTATTTGGTTGTATGGTACTACTGGTAATGGTAGTGGTGGGGGACGTTTGCACGTCAGCAACTGGTCCCTAATGGGACCTTTTTGCGAGCCCCAAGGTGTTTTTAATGAGTTATGTGGTTCGCTTAAGAGAGCTGGCTGACACCCTCTTTCAGGTACCGTCCATCAGCTCTCTTTCAAAGTTTTTCGGCATGGTTTTGTAGGCTAGTAATGTACTCACTACCATATGCTGCAGTGGCAGGCCTGCCAGCTACCTCGTTAACCCCTTCATATCTAGTGTTGCATTGTACCCACAAGGGGTGAATACACACTCATAAATTTGAGGATATGTGGTGGTTCCAGGTAAAGTAGTTCCTCCTCCTGCTCTATTAGGTGTACTCCTAGGATTCCTGTCCTTGTGTTCTGTAACCTGGGTGTGTTAGGACTCCCCTTAGTATACGAAGTTCGCTTCTACTGAGGCTGACATTACTCTGCGTTCGATATTTTGTGGTTGTTTTCTTTTTTCATCGAGGTGGTTGAAATCTTTTATGGGCATCATATGGGTCCAAGCAACCAATTGATAGTGTGGAATCCTTTGTCTCCAGGGTATATATTAAAAGTCGAATCCCTGAGGGGGCAGAAGGACGATCTAGCCTTCATAGCCATCTAGTGGCTTAAGTGCAAGGTGTATAGGTAGATTCATCAATCATACCTTGCGACTAAGTCGTGCATATAGACCCCTACGTCTATATGCTTACAGAAAAGACATCCATGTCTGATTCTGTAGACTATCGCAACACCTGTAATTCTCAAAGTGGTTTAATGTTCCACTAACAGATGGTGATAAACCTAGAATCTCAAGACTGAGAGATTCTAGGAAAATTTCGTGAATCGATTGTCAGCTGATGCAAGACAGACTGTTTCGACTTGCCATAAGTCTCATCAGTTGCACTGGCCAGCTGACAATCGATTCACGAAGGGTACCTCCATATATCAAACAAGTCGAAGCCCTGAGGGGGCAGAAGGACGATCTAGCCTTCATAGCCATCTAGTGGCTTAAGTGCAAGGTGTATAGGTAGATTCATCAATCATACCTTGCGACTAAGTCGTTCAGGTTCCTGAAGATTACTTTCCCGATTCCGATTCCGCAAAAGTGTTCTGGCTCTAGTGTTTGAGCTTCTTTTCTAGAGAATTCCTCCGCTACTTCATTTGGTTCTATTCCGGAATGTCCCAGAACCCATAGAAGGGTGACTGCATATATCTATGTACTATTTCTATATATGGCCCAGCGCCTATAGGCCTATACGATATCTCAACAAAAATGGGACCAAAATGAGAGGTAGTTTTTGAATCTATAAGGACGGAAAGTGAAGGATGGAAACAGCCATATTGGTTTGACAAGTTTCCTATTATTTTTTCCCTACGTCGGCATTAACGCCTATTGGTCGATTTCTTTACCAATAGAGGCAGAAGTTGCAAGTTGGTCCCGCTTTGAGGACAGCTATGCTTCACATATGAGTAGTACCTAGATATATGGGTGACTGTATGTCTGTTGGCTATTATACATCTTTCAGGTCTTCTCAGCATTTCCAAACCATTTTAGATCTGATAATCTAAGAGCTCAGATCTTCATATCATACCGTATTTTAGCTGCCATGTAAAATCAACGATCCATTATTTTTTCTAGTATTCATGCACACACATACCTACACGATGAGTTTGGTAGCTGCAGCTATAATAGGTAGTGGGAAAGCATTGAGAACCATTTTCCTGATTCTCGTGATACCTTCTCATGTACCTTTGGAGAGGTTGCCAGCTGCCTATGGACTGCAGTATGCCTTCAGTCTTTTGTTTTTCGTTATTGGAGGACCAATAGCAGGTACAAACGATATCTGCCAATATAGTTGGGATATACAGTGAGGACCTGAAAAGTCCTCCTCCCCCCTTTCAACCTTTGAACGGAAGCTAGCAAGGTCGGGTAAAATTCAGGCAAAATGGTACCTCTTTTACTGCTATTTGGCATATATCGAAGACTGGAACCTTTGGCACGATTATACACTACACTGTTCTACCACTAACCAAACCGATTTTTTGAACGCCTCGACACGTGTTTCGCTAACTATGTTAGCATCTTCAGGAGAAGATTAAAACTAAATATCCTATTCTAGTGTGCTGCTTATATACTAGGTATATGTTCACCCAACCGTGAAAAATACTAACCGTCAAGTTAATGTTTGTCATGGTTGAGTTCACATGTTAATCTTAATTTTTATACTACTAAACCATATGGAGGGCTATATGGAATAGGTCCATTATCCTTATTCATTGCTCTATTACTATTCTTAAATATCTCTAAGCTTTCAAATGCGTTTAATTTTCTAATATTTTTAACTTGCTTAACTAACTTGAGGTTAGTAATATGTGTGTTATGATTGTGATTGAACATAATATTCACACAAGATTTATCTAGACTGCCATATTTCAAATGGGCTATGTGTTCTTTAAACCTAGCAGTTCATGATAATATAAGTAAGTTCAGGTCGAAAAATATTTTTTCTCCCGAAGCGTCCTACACATCTGAAAAAACTCTAAATAGACTAATTTGGACATGTAAAAAACGAATCAGGAATCAAATTCGGAGCAAGACTTTTCGTTAAAATTTTCAAAAATAGCGATTTTCCAGATGTATAGGAGGCTCGGGAAGAAAGAATATTTTTCCACCTGAACTCACCTATATAATCATGAATTGATATTTTTGAAAATTTTAACGACAAGTCTTGGACCAACTCTGATTCCTGATTCGTTTTCAACATGTCAGAATTAGTGTCTCTGGAGTTTTTCAGATGTGTAGGACGCTCAAGAAGGAAACATATTTTCCGACCTGAACTAACCTATATTATCATGAATTGCTATTTTTGACAATTTTAACGAGAAGTCTTGGACCAAATCTGATTCCTGATTCGTTTTTAACATGTCAAAGTTGATGTCCTTAGAGTTTTTCAGATGTGTAGGACGCTCAGGAAGAAAAAATATTTTTCGACCTCAACTAACCTATATTATCCTGAATTGCTATTTTTGAAAATTTTAACGAAATGTCTTGGACCAAATCTGATTCCTGATTCGTTTTCAACATGTCAAAATTAGTGTCTTTGGAGTTTTTCAGATGTGTAGAACGCTCGGGGAGAAAAAATATTTTTCGACCTGAACTAACCTATATTTATCATGAATTGCTATTTTTGACAATTTTAACGAGAAGTCTTAAACCAAATCTGATTCCTGATTCGTTTTTAACATGTCAAAGTTAGTGTCCTTAGAGTTTTTCAGATGTGTAGGACGCTCAGGAAGAAAAAATATTTTTCGACCTCAACTAACCTATATTATCCTGAATTGCTATTTTTGAAAATTTTAACGAAATGTCTTGGACCAAATCTGATTCCTGATTCGTTTTCAACATGTCAAAATTAGTGTCTTTGGAGTTTTTCAGATGTGTAGAACGCTCGGGGAGAAAAAATATTTTTCGACCTGAACTAACCTATATTTATCATGAATTGCTATTTTTGACAATTTTAACGAGAAGTCTTAAACCAAATCTGATTCCTGATTCGTTTTTAACATGTCAAAGTTAGTGTCCTTAGAGTTTTTCAGATGTGTAGGACGCTCAGGAAGAAAAAATATTTTTCGACCTCAACTAACCTATATTATCCTGAATTGCTATTTTTGAAAATTTTAACGAAATGTCTTGGACCAAATCTGATTCCTGATTCGTTTTCAACATGTCAAAATTAGTGTCTTTGGAGTTTTTCAGATGTGTAGAACGCTCGGGGAGAAAAAATATTTTTCGACCTGAACTAACCTATATTTATCATGAATTGCTATTTTTGACAATTTTAACGAGAAGTCTTAAACCAAATCTGATTCCTGATTCGTTTTTAACATGTCAAAATTAGTCTCTTTGGAGTTTTTCAGATGTGTAGGACGCTCGGGAAGAAAATATATTTTTCGACCTGAACTAACCTATATTTATCATGAATTGCTATTTTTCACAATTTTAACGAGAAGTCCTTGGCCAAATCTGATTCCTGATTCGTTTTTAACATGTCAAAATTAGTGTCTTTGTAGTTTTTCAGAAGTGCAGGACGCTCAAGGAGGAAAAATATTTTTCGACCTGAACTAACCTATATTATCATGAACTGCTGATTTTGACAAATTTAACGAGAAGTCTTGCACCAAATCCGATTCCTGATTCGTTTTTATCATGTCAAAATTAGTGTCTTTGGAGTTTTTCAGGTGTGTAGGACGCTCAGGGAGAAAAAATATTTTTCGACCTGAACTAACCTATATTATCATGAACTGCTGATTTTGACAAATTTAACGAGAAGTCTTGCACCAAATCCGATTCCTGATTCGTTTTTATCATGTCAAAATTAGTGTCTTTGGAGTTTTTCAGGTGTGTAGGACGCTCAGGGAGAAAAAATATTTTTCGACCTGAACTAACCTATATTATCATGAACTGCTGATTTTGACAAATTTAACGAGAAGTCTTGCACCAAATCCGATTCCTGATTCGTTTTTATCATGTCAAAATTAGTGTCTTTGGAGTTTTTCAGGTGTGTAGGACGCTCAGGGAGAAAAAATATTTTTCGACCTGAACTAACCTATATTATCATGAACTGCTGATTTTGACAAATTTAACGAGAAGTCTTGCACCAAATCCGATTCCTGATTCGTTTTTATCATGTCAAAATTAGTGTCTTTGGAGTTTTTCAGGTGTGTAGGACGCTCAGGGAGAAAAAATATTTTTCGACCTGAACTAACCTATATTATCATGAACTGCTGATTTTGACAAATTTAACGAGAAGTCTTGCACCAAATCCGATTCCTGATTCGTTTTTATCATGTCAAAATTAGTGTCTTTGGAGTTTTTCAGGTGTGTAGGACGCTCAGGGAGAAAAAATATTTTTCGACCTGAACTAACCTATATTATCATGAACTGCTGATTTTGACAAATTTAACGAGAAGTCTTGCACCAAATCCGATTCCTGATTCGTTTTTATCATGTCAAAATTAGTGTCTTTGGAGTTTTTCAGGTGTGTAGGACGCTCAGGGAGAAAAAATATTTTTCGACCTGAACTAACCTATATTATCATGAACTGCTGATTTTGACAAATTTAACGAGAAGTCTTGCACCAAATCCGATTCCTGATTCGTTTTTATCATGTCAAAATTAGTGTCTTTGGAGTTTTTCAGGTGTGTAGGACGCTCAGGGAGAAAAAATATTTTTCGATCTGAACTAACCTATATTATCATGAACTGCTGATTTTGACAAATTTAACGAGAAGTCTTGCACCAAATCCGATTCCTGATTCGTTTTTATCATGTCAAAATTAGTGTCTTTGGAGTTTTTCAGGTGTGTAGGACGCTCAGGGAGAAAAAATATTTTTCGACCTGAACTAACCTATATTATCATGAATTGCTGATTTTGACAAATTTAACGAGAACTCTTGCACCAAATCCGATTCCTGATTCGTTTTTATCATGTCAAAATTAGTGTCTTTGGAGTTTTTCAGGTGTGTAGGACGCTCAGGGAGAAAAAATATTTTTCGACCTGAACTAACCTATATTATCATGAACTGCTGATTTTGACAAATTTAACGAGAAGTCTTGCACCAAATCCGATTCCTGATTCGTTTTTATCATGTCAAAATTAGTGTCTTTGGAGTTTTTCAGGTGTGTAGGACGCTCAGGGAGAAAAAATATTTTTCGACCTGAACTAACCTATATTATCATGAACTGCTGATTTTGACAAATTCAACGAGAAGTCTTGCACCAAATCCGATTCCTGATTCGTTTTTATCATGTCAAAATTAGTGTCTTTGGAGTTTTTCAGGTGTGTAGGACGCTCAGGGGGAAAAATATTTTTCGACCTGAACTAACCTATATTATCATGAACTGCTGATTTTGACAAATTTAACGAGAAGTCTTGCACCAAATCCGATTCCTGATTCGTTTTTATCATGTCAAAATTAGTGTCTTTGGAGTTTTTCAGGGGTGTAGGACGCTCAGGGAGAAAACATATTTTTCGACCTGAACTAACCTATATTATCATGAATTGCTGATTTTGACAAATTTAACGAGAACTCTTGCACCAAATCCGATTCCTGATTCGTTTTTATCATGTCAAAATTAGTGTCTTTGGAGTTTTTCAGATGTGTAGGACGCTCAGGAAGAAAAAATATTCTTCGACCTGAACTAACCTATATTATCATGAACTGCTGATTTTGACAAATTTAACGAGAAGTCTTGCACCAAATCCGATTCCTGATTCGTTTTTATCATGTCAAAATTAGTGTCTTTGGAGTTTTTCAGGTGTGTAGGACGCTCAGGGAGAAAAAATATTTTTCGACCTGAACTAACCTATATTATCATGAACTGCTGATTTTGACAAATTTAACGAGAAGTCTTGCACCAAATCCGATTCCTGATTCGTTTTTATCATGTCAAAATTAGTGTAATTGGAGTTTTTCAGGTGTGTAGGACGCTCAGGGAGAAAAAATATTTTTCGACCTGAACTAACCTATATTATCATGAACTGCTGATTTTGACAAATTTAACGAGAAGTCTTGCACCAAATCCGATTCCTGATTCTTTTTTATCATGTCAAAATTAGTGTCTTTGGAGTTTTTCAGGTGTGTAGGACGCTCAGGGAGAAAAAATATTTTTCGACCTGAACTAACCTATATTATCATGAATTGCTGATTTTGACAAATTTAACGAGAACTCTTGCACCAAATCCGATTCCTGATTCGTTTTTATCATGTCAAAATTAGTGTCTTTGGAGTTTTTCAGGTGTGTAGGACGCTCAGGGAGAAAAAATATTTT